ATCAATAAAGTCAATCAATCAAAATTCTAAATATTAAAATGAATAATTTGGTCTTAATTGGAGAAATGAGGTTAAAATGTTTCCTGAACGTTTGACCATTTAAACCGAGAGTCATGAGCAAAATGGTCCTTTAAAGATTAAAAGGTCATCATAAAATCTAATAATCTAACAGATTGGATTAACAACTTTTCTATGAACTTTACAAAACTGTAAAAAAAAAAAATCCTAATTCCCTTAAAAAAATGCAATCGATCTCTCATCCCCCATCTGGGTGGAATTAAAAACCCATCAAACTTGGAATTAGGCCTAAATAACTCATAACCTCAGCAGATTAAAATCATTTTAAAAGCATCTCTCTAAAGATGTTTTAATATTTATTTCCTCTCTCAGCTTCTTCCAGACAGTATTGTAATAAAAGGCCTCTGTGCCATCACCCCAATCTTTAACTACTTCCACAGATTAGAGTCGGGGCCCCGGGCCCCTGAATAAACTAAACGTTAAGCTGAATCTAGCAGCTGTATGGTTCCTTCCTAAGCAGCTTACCTCTGCGATGGTGATAGCCAGAATGAACCAGGGGGGGGGGCAGTACGTGTAGCTGTCAAAGTACCACTTGCGGTCGACTTCGCGGGGCAGCGTTTCGTAGGCGACGTGACGAACTAGCCGCTGGGAAAGACCCAAACCCACCTCATCTCTGAGGCTGCAGCCTTTCAGCTGCCGGCTGCCCTGCAGGATGGCCCGCCGGAAACTGTTGGAGCGTTTGTTGCTCATCTGGGAAGAGAGACGAGAAGAACGAGAGAAACCGGTTCAAGGAGTGGAGCTCAGAAATGCATTTATTCATAGAAAGGATAATTATAAAGATGCTTTAATGCTGCGTTCAGGGAATATTATCAGAATAGCTTCATTAGCATCCAGCTACCAGGATCTTTACTGACATCAGCCTGTTATCTTTAGCAGCAAAGATCTTCTTCTCCTAGATCAGCAGTCAGTCCAGATCCCAGAGAGCGTTTTATCCGTATTTACACCTAATAATGAAACTACTACTCTACAACGCCACGCTAC